GAGGGGAGCAACCTGGGGGCATCAGCCTGGTCTGATTGCCCATGCCGGTGGCAAGCACACAGCCCTGGCTGTGCCAGCCACGTCCCTCGCCTGCTGGCCTCTGGGCAACAGGGCCCTTGCAGGGACACATGGTGGACCCATGGCCAGTTATGTCCCTTTACTGGCCGGCTCTGGCTCTGTCCCCACTTCCTTGGTCACCCCTGTGTCCCCTGGGACATGCACCAGTCTGTCCCTTGCACCTGGGCCCCTGCGTGCCAGATGCCCCGTCCCCTACAGCCCTGGAGAAGTTTCCCTGCAGCCCTGCACATTGAGCGACTCACAGCCACAGCTGTGACGAGAGCGTCAGTGCTCAGCTGTGGGTGCCCTATCAGAGCTATCAGGAGTCCCCTGGGAATAGGGGATGGGGGCAGCTGGCCATGTTGTGTGCTGTTGTGGGGTGGATACCCCCTCCCCAGCCTCTCGGTAAAGCAGGGACAGCTCCAACCCACCCCTCTCCCTGGGCTGTCGGTGCCAGTAGGGTGCCTGGCCCCAGCAGGCTTTGGGTTGCCACGTGTCCCTGCAGGCACCTGCTGGGGACACAGAATCATAGACCTATGGAATGGTTTGGGTTGGAGGGGACCTTAAAGCCCCTCCCAGTGCCACCCCCTGCCCTGGGCAAGGACACCTCCCACCAGCCCAGGTTGCTCCAAGCCCCCTCCAACTTGGCCTTGAACCCCTCCAGGGATGGGGCAGCCACAGCTTCTCTGGCCAACTTGGGCCAGGCTCTCACCACCCTCACAGCAAACAAGTTCTTTCTAGTATCTAAATCTCCTCTCTTTTAATTTAAAACCATTACCCCTTGTCCTGTCGCTCCCCTCCCTGATCCAGAGTCCCTCCCCAGCTCTCCTGGAGCCCCTTTAGGGACTGGAAGGGGCTCTAAGGTCTCCCAGGAGCCACATCTCCCTCACCCCCACCCCGTTCCCGTGCCACCATTATTTCCACGTGCCCTAAAATCAGCTTTTCCCAAGCAGCAAAGGGCTGTCTGCGGCTGCTGTTTCTCTTGCTGCCTGGTGACCCCGCATCCCCTGGGGACAGCAGGGTGCTGGGAGGTGCACCGAGTTCCCCAGGCCTCTGCTTGCCCATCTCCCTGCCCCTGCACCACCGAAGGGGCTCACCCCGGCTGGCGCAGGGGGGTCAGCACAGCCCCACACTGACCCCCCCTTCCTAGCAAAGCCTCCCCCCACGCTGAGCCTGGGGCCACCCTGGGGTGCCCCTCTCTGGGGCTGCGGGAGTTTCCCTGGCTGTAATGGGCGTTTTGTCCTTGCTGGGGGACAGCTCGAGCATTCCCCAGGCACCTCGAGGGGCTCCAGGACCCTGGGGGGGCCATGGGCACTGTGCAGCCCTGGCAGGGCACAGACAGAAAGGCGGGGGGGGGACACACGTGAACCCTGGTCTGCCCCAGCCCCCCTTCCCTCCTGCTTTTGGGCAGAGTCTGCACCCCACCAGAGGTGCCAAGAGGCACCTTGTGCTCCAAAACAATTTTGTTGGGTTTACTCTGGCTTTATCCTGGCTTTATCCTGCTCCCCAGGGAGATCCCACCATGGCATGACCCTGTGCATGGGGCAAACCCCCTTCCCATCGCCCTGCTCGGGGCACTGGGCCGATGGGGGCAATCCCAGTGTCTCTGCCCATGTGTGGGGTGACAGGCTCAGGGTTTTCCCAGGAAATCCCATCCCAAGGGAGCAAATCCGTGCCCAGGATGGATCCCAGCCCCCTGGGCTGCTGCTGGTCCCAGGGACGGGCTGGCAGCGGGATGGATGCTCACCCTCCCCGCAGGGGGAGGAAGGAGGATGGCGGCATCTGTCCTGCTGTGTTTCAAGATGAGCTCCTTTATGACACACTTTCCTGGGCAGAGAGACCCCAAAGCAGCAGAGAGAAGCCAGAGTTGGGGGCTGCCAGGCTGCGATGCCTGCCATGGGGGGGTCTGGGGGGGTGAGGGTCCCCAGCCTGGCTCCTGGAACACGGACTCAGAGACGGCACCAACTCCTCCATTCTGGCTCTGAGCTCCTTTCAGGAGATTTTTCCTTGGCAATCCCCCTCCTGCAGCATCCTCATCCCCGGCCTCGGCCTCGTGGTGTTGCCAGGGCTTTTGCCCAAGGGAGCCGCCTGCCTGGGTTTCTGCTGCCCAAAAAATGCCCCAAGGACCGAGTCCTGCTGCCAGGGAGGATGCTCGCTTTTTTTTCCCTGCTGAGAAAAGCTGAAGCCTCTGTAATTATTGATTCCAGCAGTTGGCAAATCACACTTTAAGCAGCAGTTGAGGCTGGAGTGAATGTTGGGGTGACACAGGAGCCCCCGTCCCAGCCTTGCTGCTGGGTCTGACCCTGCCAAATGCCACATTGTGGGGGGCAGCCGGTGGGGAGGGGGGTTACAGGGCAACGCTTTCCACCAGGTTTGAAATCCATCTTGGCATCCCATGGGTAAAGCCTGTTCCTGGGTTACAGGACACTGGACTGAGCTTTTCGTGGGCTGAGTTTGGGGCAGGTCCCGCTGGGCCACAAGCCGGGGGGGGGTCTCTCCTTGGCTCAGGTCTGGGCCAGCAGAGCACAGGCACATCTCCAGCTCCGGGGGCAGAAAACCTCACTAATTATTGATTAAAAGACTTTTCTAATCCTTTCTGTAACCAACAACTGGCAAGGAAAAAAAAAAACAACCTGCTGAATTATAGATCAGTGCTCCTGGCCCCCCCAGGGCCCCCATACTCCCCCGCCGCCCGCAGCACAGTGTATTTTCAGCCACATTTTTACCCATAATGAGCCCTTCAACAGGACCAGGGAGTTGCTGCTGGGACTTGCACTGGGATGTGGGGTCTGATCCAGCCCCCAGCCGGGAGGGAAGCGGTGACTGGGAAGAAAAGGCCCGTCCTGCTCCCGCAGCCC